AACCAGGCAGCTGGCAAACAAAATAAATATATGATGAGTTAGCAGAAGAGAGAAATACCACATTTTGCCCATCTTCTCTGTTTCTGGTACTTCGCAGAAATTTATACAGAGAAAAAACTGTTAACATCTAAGTATAAAACATTTTCACACTTGCATACTTAAGGCAGTTATGGATAATATCAGCTGTGAAGGGGCAAAAGAAACAAAAGGAATTCTGTATCTCAGATTCATATTCTGTGCATCAAGTGTCCTACATCTTGTTGCAAATAACAAACTAAACTTCCAGATATGGCAAAGATATGAACAACATCATATGCCTACTCAATCCAAGAAGATATAGTCTGAATCTGACTTCCCTTAATTCTGTACAACCTAATGTAGGTCAGTGTAGGCCTTTAGTCAGTTCCCTACTCAACAAAAACATCATATATGACCCTGAGGAAATCACTCAGTCTTTCCCTGCGCCTTCCTTCTTCATCTATATGTTGAGGATAATAATACTTCCTTAATTCATAGGGATATGGCAAGGATAGGTTAAAGATTGGAAGGCCTAGAGATACCATGGTAATTAAGGCTGTGTCTGTATCTGGATAGATTGACAGATAACATGTAGACAAATCCATAAAAAGTCATAATTCTGTTTTTAAGGACCTACACTGACCTACATTAGGTTGTACAGAATTAAGGGAAGTCAGATTCAGACTATATCTTCTTGGATTGAGTAGGCATATGATGTTGTTCATATCTTTGCCATATCTGGAAGTTTAGTTTGTTATTTGCAACAAGATGTAGGACACTTGATGCACAGAATATGAATCTGAGATACAGAATTCCTTTTGTTTCTTTTGCCCCTTCACAGCTGATATTATCCATAACTGCCTTAAGTATGCAAGTGTGAAAATGTTTTATACTTAGATGTTAACAGTTTTTTCTCTGTATAAATTTCTGCGAAGTACCAGAAACAGAGAAGATGGGCAAAATGTGGTATTTCTCTCTTCTGCTAACTCATCATATATTTATTTTGTTTGCCAGCTGCCTGGTTCTGCTTACAGGAGTAACATGAACTTATTTTTTGTTTGTTTGTAATTAATTGCAAAGACAAATAGGTCTAGCTACCCTTCCTCTGCCCATTCACCAACTTTCACACTTTGCCCCAAGATGCACATTTATTCCTCATGAAAAGATGGACAGTTGCTCAACTGTGTGATTTCTTTTTTTATTATCAGTCCTTACAGTGGTCCTTAAGAATCAAATATACATATATTTAAATGTAATGTGTAAAGCTGCTTAGTGGCTGGAAAAGTGACTGTAAAAATATTTTTCTAGCCCTTTCAGCTCTTCTGGAAAAGTAAGCATTTGACTAATTCAGCTTTAGAATTGTTCAGCAGATGGAAAGGAAACTTTTTGGCAAATTCTTTATTACTCCTGGTGTAAACCTGGAGGATCTATTGAAGCCAATGGATTAATACCAGTGTAACTGAGAGGAGGATTATCTACTATGTATTGCACCTTCTCATATTTCTTTGCCATTTGTAATAGCAGCCTGGTCTCAAAATTAAACAGTGCTTGATAAACTTTAAAAAAGGGTGGAAAAAATACCAAAAAGTAATAATTAAAGGGTTGAAACAAAGGGGTGAGGTGAGCACGCTAGTAGGGAGGGAAAGATTGCAGCAAGATCTGGATAGGTTACAGGAGTGGGCTAACATAAACAGGATACGTTTCAATACTGACAAGTGCAGGGTGCTGCACTTAGGCAGTAGAAATCAGTGGCACACTTATAGAATGGGAAACTCCCTTCTTGAGTGCACGGAGGCAGAAAGGGATCTTGGAGTCATTATTGACTCCAAGATGAACATGGGCCAACAATGCGAGGTCACGGTTGGCAGGGCTAACCGGACCTTGTCGTGCATCCACAGGTGCATCTCAAGTAGAGCCAGGGAGGTGATCCTCCCCCTCTATGCGACGCTGGTCAGGCCACAGCTGGAGTACTGCGTCCAGTTCTGTGCGCCCCATTTCAGGAGGGATGTGGACAACATTGAAAGGGTCCAGAGGAGGGCCACCCGCATGATCCGGGGACTACAGGGCAGACCCTACCATGAAAGACTGTGGGACCTAAACCTGTTCAGCCTTCACAAGAGAAGGCTGAGGGGGGACCTGGTGACTGTCTATAAACTCACTAGGGGGGACCAGAAGGGTTTGGGGGAGACACTGTTTCCCCTAGCGCCTCCTGGCATGACAAGGAATAATAGACACAAATTATTAGAGAGGAGGTTTAGATTAGACATCCGCAAGAACTACCTCACAGTTAGGGCGGCTAGGAGCTGGAACCAACTTCCTAGGGAAGTGGTGCTGTCTCCTACCCTGGGGATCTTTAAGAAGAGGCTTGATGCCCACCTGGCTGGACTCATTTGAGTACAGTTTTTCTCCCGCCCAGGTTGGGGGTCAGACTTGAAGATCTACAAGGTCCCTTCCGACCCTATTTCTATGATTCTATGATTAATTTTAGCATCTACCTGATATTCATAGAATCTTCCCAGAGTGAGAGACAGTACAAAACGAGAGCAGTCCAGAGCATTAAACTGTAGTTCAATCTCCATAGCAAGGGGGAAATTTACTTCACACTCTTCTATGAAGCAGACTCTCTCCCACATACATTCAGAAAATTACTCCAGATAACAAGCAGAGGGTTGGAGACTGAGAATAACTTCTCCCCCACCCCCAACCTCAGCCTAGTGCAGCATTTCTCAACCCATGGGTCACAACCCAAAAGTTGGTTGCAAGAATGTATGCAAGGGTCACAGACAAACTTTAAACATGGATCAGCAAACTTTAAAAGAACTGAAAGTATGTTGGAGTCGAGTCATGAGAACTTTCACTGCATCAGTAGAAATCTTAGTGTCCAGCCACTGTAAATAGGAACAGATGTAGTCTATACTTGCTCCAAATGGGTGAACATAAAAAAAATGTTGAAATTATACCGACTAATACAGCTTTTTCTTTAGGTTTCTCCTTTAAAGGAGAAAAACATGGGAAATCCTGGCTTTTCCCTTGCAGGCTGGCAGGGTTCCTGCTTGCAAGGGGCTGTTTGGGGGCCCACCATACCCCACACACTGTGGGGCAGGGGCATTGGATCAGGAATGAGGGGCACTGGGTCAGAACTGGCAATCAATGTTTACAAATGGGTCCTAATACAAAAAAGACTGAGAATCACTAGCCTAGTGGATTGCAGTGATTAGATCCTGCCATCCTCCCAAGAGTCATAGACAGGACAGAGATTAAGGGAGTGGGGGAGTTGTGCCATTTTATCCTCCCCACCCCCAACCTCCATGTTACAGTAGTGGTGGCAACTAATGTATCCCCTAATGTTTTATCTACAGATGCAGATGAATGCCAGCTGTTTGGACAAGAGATCTGTAAAAATGGCTTCTGTTTGAATACACAGCCAGGTTATGAGTGTTACTGCAAACAAGGCACATACTACGACCCTGTTAAACTCCAGTGCTTTGGTAAGTTTCTTTACATTACACTATGGCTATGCAGATGGACAAAACAAGAAAAGTTACACTGAAAACACTAGGCTGAAATGAGGCATTTATCCACAGCTCACAATAAGGGCTGGAGAACAGCATGCTTCCTTGTCTCCCGGAGCACTGATCTAAGGGATCCAGGCATTCCCCTTTCTCCTGCAGGGCTGACCAGCTTTGCTGGTACAGGGAGCCAATGCCTTCCCTCCCTTTCAGCAAGTTGCACCCAAAGATCTGCATCTCATAAGTAACACCTGTATCCCAAGGGTACAGAGGCTACAGCTGATAACAGCTGGCTACACGAGAGTCTGCTTCCTCTTTTTCTGCCCAATACAGCTTCAGTGCTTTTACCTACTTTAACAAGGGTCCTGCTTTTATAATAAATCAAATTAACAATATTTTTTTACTACATCTTTTTCTGCAAGAAGTTAATATGCAATGTGGAATTACAATTCAAGTCACTGGTGTAATATAAATGTGCTCCTCTTAGTCTAAAAAACATTGTACTCCTTCACTCTGGTTATTTGACTGAAAAATATTCATAACCATGACCCTGGGTTTTGCTACATAAGCAGAAAACCATGAGGACTATGCAGAATAACATAATGAAAGGAAGCAATTATTTGAAACCACAATAAGAGAGCCTTTCACCTTGCATTTCTAAAATTGTCCTTCACAATATTTTCTTTGCTGATTTAATGTCATTTATTTTTAGTAAAATAGCCTGCCCTTTCCTTAGGGATACATTATTGCTTTTTCTGTCTAAGCCAAGCTGAAGAGGCATAGGATTGTATGCTCCAAACAAGATGGTTCCTTTCCGTGCAAAGTTGGTGAATAACTTTGGGCATTGTGCTCTTCAGTGGTCTTTACTGGTATGGCATGAAAGCTGCATGCAGGCACCCTGCGGAGCTTACCGTGGGTGCAGCAGGCCCGTACAGGAAGTATTTTAAGCATGGACACCTCTACTCTAGACCTCTGAAGCACCATCAAGTGCATTTATCAATATTCTGATCAGCGTTTGAGAACAACAGGACAACATTTTGCCTCTCTTCTGCATGGGTGCACTAAGGTGAAGGCGTTACCTGATTTATTTCTTTCCTGTTAGACATGGGCACAGGCAGAGTTTAGCTCTGAGCTCTTTATTTGTACTAATGAAAAGATGGCACCCAAGAAGAGCACGTCTAAATTTAGGAGTGGGCAAGAACTGATTTACTCAATGAATTTCTTTGGGGTTGACTTTATTTCTTGTGTTTCCTTCCATTTTAAAGATACTGATGAATGTCAAGACCCAGATAGCTGTATTGATGGCCAGTGTGTTAACACTGAAGGATCTTACAACTGTTTCTGTACACACCCAATGGTTCTGGATGCTTCAGAAAAGCGATGTATCAGACCAGCAGATACAAGTGGTATGCTTTGTTATACATTATTTTTTCTCTACTGCATTGAGCAGGAGTACTGTTGACCTTGAGCCAGTATTAACACAGTCACAGACTCAAATATTGGGAGACTGAGTTTCTCTTGAATGCCTTGCTCTTTCCTTCAGAAAAAAATCTCAGAGGATATACTTGAGCCATTGAGTACCTACCCAGAAGGCATACTCATGAGTCACTGCTCATTGTTTCATTGAGACTGGGACTTTACTGGGGTTTAGCTCACTGAGTCTCAAGGCAGGGTATATGCTTCTACAACTGGGAAAAGATATTAGTGTTCCTGATTTATTCATTAATGGGGTATGTTTTTCATTTGTCTCAGGTTTTTACAGCAGAGAAGTTTTCTTAGGGTCCATTCAGTTCCACAGTTTTGAGGGCCAGAAGTTTAGTTTTCTTAAGTGAAAGGTGTAATTTCATCATCTGGTGATTTCAGAAAAAATACCAAGTAGTATGAGACTCAATAAAATCTCAAGAGTCTGGAATACAAAAATCCAAATTTGTAAAATCCAAATTTGGCTCCAAAATTACTGACAGTTTATATCATACAAAACATTTAGAAATGTTAAAGCATACTTGAATTATGGTGGTGCAGATAGCAGTGAATTCAAGCCTATGTTCAGTGCATCCACTTACGAATTTCTGTCTAAACGTTTTCTGGAGCAGGAGGTGCTAATGTAAATTGACTGAACATCTGCATCCCTCCACACCAGATGGTGGTTTGCTTTATGTGGATCTTAACTGTAATCCTCTCAACTGGAACTTCACTAGAATTGCAAAAATAGTATTTCTTTTAAATTTAGTTAAGAAAAGTAGGGACAAAGTTACGTGGCCCCTCCATGGATATGGAGGAAAGAGCAAAGACACAGAGACCTCCTGACCATGCCTACAATGGAACTGATATAATAGTCTTTGCACCCAGAATCAATCTGAAGCAGGGAGAGAGGAGGCAGAGCCATATTGTAGCCCCTTCCCCTACCACCACTACCACAGAGAGTTGATTGGTATGGGGTACAAAGTGAATCATACCCACATCTTTCTACCTGTTATTCGTTTGTTTCTCTGGTACTTAAGGAGGCAACATACAATGCACAATGAAACTCTATATCCACCATTTGAAGTCGCTGACTCAGTAAGTAATAAAAGACAGCCCTAAACTCTGATCTTCACACTCTCAGGGCATGTCTACATGTTCACTTTACTGCACAATAGACTAATTTACTGTGCAGTGAAGTGTCACTCTCTACATGTGCGTGGCAATTAGACCAGTGTAGACTAATTTACTGTGCCATTGGATAGTCCCATCAGACAAAAGTATCATCTGACAGCACAGTAAATTACTGTGCTTAAACACACATGTAAAGCACTAAAGCACCCTCATGCCCCAGCCAGCCACTCTGTAGCACATAGAGCCTCATTGGAGCAGCCCTGGGCTGGCTGCCCTGATGAGGCTTCACAGGCTGTGGACTAGCTGGCTGAGATACAAGCAGCCCCATGCTGAAGCACCCTCATGTCTCAGCCAATGTTCCCACATCCTGTCCCTTCCACCACGCCCCGCTACACATGGAGCCCTGTCAGAGCAGCCCTGGGCTGCACATGTGGACATGCCCTGAGAGCACTACATTTTACTTCTGAGTTGGGCTTCAGTCCTATCTGATTTATGCAATGTGTATGCTTGAAATCATGTTTGTTCTGCATTGTAACAAATGTGCTTGCCAGCACTGGCAGGAGGATAATGGTTCTGTTTCATGATCACTTTGGAGGTTCTGATATTTTTTGTTCTGCAGTTGAAACCAAAGCCAAAGCTTTCAGACATGTTTGCAAAATAGAATTGTGTTGAAGCACTCTTCTGTTTATGAAGAAAACATTGCAGGTTTTTTATTTTTCTCTTACTCTGATCAATGTGACTAGAGCACCTTAAAAAAGTGCTCATTGAAAACTCCATTGACACCTGTTCGTTTCTGTGAAACACTTCACCTGGTCCAGTACCAGCAGTTACTTCACTTCATCTTTAAACAGTCCTTCTGATACAATTTATAAGAAAAACATCATATCTTTTAAGTTTCACTCCTTGAGTGGGATTTCTCAAGCATTTACTGTGATTCTAGCTCTGTTTCCAGAGAAGTCAGTTGGATTCTGTTGACTTCAGTGGGAAAAAAGTTAAGTCAAACCTAAGAGCTCTGGAAAATCCCATACTGTGGCAAACAGTCTTAAAATTTCCTAATCACTTAGGGAGTCAGTGGAGTGGCCAACTTCAGATACTGCTTTTCAGAGGCTGGGTGCTTAGTCCTTTCTATAAATCAGAATCCTTTAAAGTTTGTCAAGATGGAAACCCAAGTTCATCCAGTTTTAGTTTCATGTGAGGTAAACTATTCTTTTAACTTTGGTTCAGATAGCAGTATTGATTCAGTATTTTACCAGTTGTTTTAAACCAATAAGAGCACTGTAGTAGTCATGCAATATTGTTTTCTCCTTCAGAACAAACTGAAGAAACTGAAGTCTTCCAGGACCTTTGCTGGCAATATCTGAGTGATGATTTTGTTTGTAGTCAACCTCTGGTGGGAAAGCAGACTACATACACTGAGTGCTGCTGCTTATATGGTGAGGCCTGGGGCATGCAGTGTGCCCTGTGTCCCATGAAGGACTCAGGTAAGGAATTATATATTTCAGTTACTGGGATGCCTTTGGGGGCATTTGATCAGTTTAATTCCCTTGCAGTGTGTTTTCAATACCTGAAATAATAGCAAAAAAAAAGAAAGAAACTAGCTGTCCTGTATTAAATGCAAATCATGAAGATCCAGATTTACAAAAAGGGTCTTTACTTTTTGATGCCCTACTTTTGGGGTATCTGGCATAAATACACAACATCCTGGATTTGCAAGGTGCTGAAAACGTATCACTGCCATTAAACTTCAACTGGAAATGCCAGTAATGAGTCATCTCTGAAAACCCCAGCTTCGAATGTTGTGAGCAAGAGGGGTATTTTGATATGCTGACAATTTAGGCCTAATACTTGAAATATTCTGCAGAGCAAATTTTTTAATAATTTTACTTTCTGCTATATGGCAAACTACTGTAAGTGTTTAGAAAGAAATACGCTTCTTTTTATTGTGGCCCAGGCTAGTATTAAAATTTAGTAAACTAAAATAAAAGTTTTGTTCACACATTGCTGCAGAATGAAGCTCTAGAATAAGAAGTTATTTTTTCAGTGGTAATTTGGCCATGGTAGCCTCGCTAGAGTACTTTGTTTTTTTCAACAGGTGACTTTTGTAAAAGGCCTTATCACTCCACAAATATCATCTGATTCTGTATTTTTAAAATGCCAGTCCTTCTGTGACAGATAGTATAGTCTGTCATATACAGATTCCATCGAAGCTGAGTGTATGTAATTAACTATGTGTTCATGATTTTCTCACTTTCTTTCTCTTCTGCCAGATACTGGGGTCTATGAAATTTCCATACTTTTCATGTTAGTCAGTAATCAGGCAAAACCTTTTTAAATCTGCTAGAGAGATTCTTAAATAAATTGTGTTTTTATTAAAGACTTCAATCCAGAAATACATTGGAGAATAAACACACCAGTAATGGTCAGACCCAGATATTCCAACAGATTTTTTCACCAAATAGCTACTGAATTTACAAGAGACAAAGCTATTTTGCATGTAATTTTGGAAAATTATAAGAACATTATAGAAGAACTAGTTAAAGAAAATCAAGTGATCGTAAACTGATTCTGTTTAAATTAAGTGAAAAAGAAACAAAGACAGATGTGTAATTAAGGTTTGTTTTTTTAAAAAGGCAAACTTTAAGAAATTAAGGGAACCAGTTAGTGAAGTCAGCTGGACTGAAGAGCTCAAGGACTTAAATATGGAGGAGACTTGTAATCTTTTAAAATCAAAGATGTAAAAGCTTTTTGAAATTTGCATCTTTAGCAAGAAAAAAAAAGAGAAGGATTCCAGATCTAACTGGCTGAATAACAGCTACAAAAGAATATTTAGAGTAATCAGACAGTCTAGGAAAATGGGAAAAAAGATTGATCACAGAAAAAAAACCTGTGACTTGGAGATCAGAACACGTTGTGATGAAATGAGGAATGCCAAAAATGAAGTTGAGTTGGATATATGTGCAGGAAATTAAAACTAGTAGTAAAAGGTAATCTAGCTGTGGAAATAAAAAAAGTAAAGGGAGAAAAGCAAAGCTACTATGTAGTGAGGAGTGGGTAGAAATTAAAGCTAATCTAGGTAGAGACAAAAAATAAATTTTACTCCAAGGACATGGTGTTCAACATGGGAGCAGAGACAAACTGGTTAATAAGAATGAATGTGTAGAACTGGAGATTGCTACATCCAGGATGGAAGGAAAACTCCAAGACCATAATGTGTTTCAGGTGGGGGGAACCAGATAATGTCCACCCCAGAATGCTTGAAAGCAAAGGCACATTAAATTACCTAAAAGTTGATAGCAAGTATTTTTTAAAAATGCTGTATTTTCTCACATACACCACTCCCCAGAACATAATGTGCACCTTGTTTATTGTGGCTGGGCATCTTTGGAGCCTGCCACTTTAAGAGCTGGAGCAGGCTGTGGAGTAACCGGCAGCTGCGATGCAGCCAAACAAGGCAGTCAGATGACCACAAGAGGGCTCCTGGATTGGAGGATGGGGCTGAGCAGCCTCAGTATAAACCAAGACCCTCAAAGCTGAGCTGGTAGCTGTTGCAGGGGGC